TTGTACAATCGTAACACAAACTTTAAGTCGACGAATTCATCAGTTCTTGTACAATCTTAACAGTTAACTCAAACGGCTAAGTTTTTATTAACAGTCTGTTGCTAACATACAGTATTTTGACAAAGTTTTAGAAACTCTGGTATTTTGATAAATATAGTGTGAGTTGATTTTGGCAAAATTTGAATGTATTTTTCCCTAACAGTAATACAACGTAAATAGGGGCCATTATCATAACCGGATATAAACTTTCGTATAGCTTCTCTTACACATTAGTAATTTAGTACCATGATCCAGCAAGCTACAACTTCAATCTTTATTGATCAAACAGCTAAGTCAGAAAAGTATTATGTTACCTGGTTTCACATAGCTTGTCTGATTAACTTCATCTTGAAAATAAGTCAAATGAAACTATGTACCGGAGCCGATAGCTGTAGTTCATATGCAGCTTGGTAAAACTCTGCAGCTTGCTGTGACAAGCCTTGCATTTTGGCAACCTGCCCTAGCTTCATCCACGCATCGTGATTTCTCGGGTCTAATTTTAAGGCATTCATCAGAAAACTTTTGGCGGTTGCAAGTGATTCACCTCCGGATCTCATCATAACATCTGCTATAGAAACAATGCTGGGCACGTGATCTGGTTCAATCGAGAGCGACATAAAGAAGGATACTAGAGCCTCTTCATGAACTGATTTAGCCTCCAGACACAAACCTGTCCCAATCATAGAGGCAAATTTATGGCGTTTGTGATCAACTTGGGGAAATTTTGTATGTGGAAAACTTTATGAGTTTATGACTCTTAAAGTCTTTTCTCCATACCTGTTTCATTCCAGCCTTTGGGAGAATAAAAGCTGATGGATCTTGCCTTCTCCAGACATGTTTCGACATCTGACCACGAACCTAGCGTTCTGTAGACAGAGGCCAGGTCTTGCCAAGCTTCTGTTTCAGATTTCTCTAGCAGAGTCTGGGAAAATAGAATACGATTATTCAGAGGGATCACAAACTTCACAGAAGATCTCTCTTTCATATTAAGACACCCAAACTAGGTACCTTGAATTGTTCAGATTTCTCCTGTGCCCGGATTAGGGCCAGCAAACTGCTGCATGTCTTCATTGCCTGCTTAGGTTGTTCTTGAGCCATCTGAAGCACAGCTTTCAACTTCAGAAGCCCTAGCTTTTCGATGTCACCAGCCTCTTCCATGGTAAACTCCAGAATAGATTCAGCATCCTTAAGCCGTTTCTCCGCTGAAAGGACCATAGCTAAATGTTGCCATCCTCTACTTGAAACTCCTCCCACCAAACTAGAATACTCAACCGCACCATCCAATGCCGCCTGAAGATTTCTTTGAACTGCATTCTCAACACTTAAGTTAAATATAACGTCTGGTTCCGAATCATCCTTGGCCCTCTTTGCTGCTTCATTTAGAGAGATTAGCGATTTCCTCTGAAGAAGAACACGTTCAGAGTCTAACCTGGAACTTCTTGCTGCGTTTCCATAGCATACACCAAGGAACCTGTGTGCTTGGCTCAGAAGATGTTCACTCTGATTGTTTGCCAAGTCGAGTATCTTATGAGCAAAATTTATGCCATCCCTTGAGTGTTTTGGATCTTTAGAGCACAGCTTTGCTCCAAACAATAACCAGGGAGTGTGTGGTATCTGTCTTGATTCAGAAGGACCTGAGGCCATCTTCAAGAGATTGATGGCCGTTTTATCGATCCCTGCAGCACTGTAACAAAGGGAGAGAAGGTACCATCTCTCCCCTCGGGTGTAAACACCCGGAAGAGCCTGCTCTAGATAGTTTGCTAACACTTCAAACTGTCCAGTCATCGAAAGGGCGTATGTGAGATGGTCCATGAGTTCTGAATCCCACTGTATTTCCCCAACCACCATCTTCTTTACAAGTAACATTAGTAACACAATAGCTTCCTCAATGTTGGCTTTTGGGCATGCCTCAACACTTGCGTAAAGTAAAACCAAAGCTAAGGACTTCTGCGTAACAGCTAATCTTTGGGGATCCAAATTCCACGGTCTGAATAAAGCACGGCGATATGAAGCAATAGTTTGATGAAGATTTCCTGCTTTTTTCCAAAGAAGAGGAAGCAATTCAAGGGCCTTCTGGAAAATGTCCTGCAGTTTACATAAGCCGCTGATTCCATCAGGCATGCCACTTGGTAGTGCAGATTCAACAATGTCCAGGATGATTTTGCATTCCTCTGCAGCCTCTGGTAAAACAATAAACAGGAGGAACCTATGACCAGAGATTCCTATGCAAAAAGCGGGAGAGCATCAGAGGGTATATATTACCTTTGTAAGACCGTAGCTCCTCTAGTGATCTAGCTTTAAGCAAGATTGCTTCAAGAAGTAAACTAACTGAATGCATGGACATTGAGGTGGGAGAGACAATAACAACTCTGGAGCGTGGTTTGCGTGGACGAGTAGTCTCTGCAATGGCTTTGACTATCCTCGGAGTCAAGACCCTAATGTCAATCCCCTTAAAGACCTGAAGCGCTGCATCAAAATTACCTCTCTGGTATTCGAGTCTCCCCAGCAAAGCCCTAGCTTCCTAACACACACACACAAGAGAAATCAACATGAGGAATCAACAATGGATTCAGCTTCCTTTAAAGTAGCGAAAACGCACTTCATAGTTGAGAGAGAGAGCCTCCTTTAAAGTGGATTCAGCTTCATCGACTTGAATCTCTTCCCAATCGCGTCCTCCGGTTCTGGAAGAAGAGAGGCCACTAGTTGAGAAATCTCTTGTAGCTAGGGATTCCGGCGAACCAGGCTGCTCCTCGAACCGGAACTGTTCGCCTGAACAAGCACACAACATCGTCTCCGAGTGGATTCACAGATCTACGCGAAACGCGAATTTTTTAAGCAAAGCGGAGATCAGAAATCGAGAAAGGGTTGTTTGTCATTTTGCTCTCTTCCCGTAATGTTCATGTCAGTGTATCAAATAAGCAATGCCACCCTGTGATTTCTCTTTTTTTCCCTTTAAAAAAAATTAAATTTGAATTCTTTTGTTTTTTTTAGGGTCCACATATCAACTTCAGCATGCTTGAAAATTGAAAACACTCGGAAAATACCCATTCTTGGAAAACACTCGGACAATTATTTATATTAGATTCACTTCTATTTAATATTCAAGCAAAGTCCTCACAAATTAAATAAAAGCAACAACAAAAATCCAATTGTGAGGGATGTGGTTTGATAATTAGAGCTAGATAAAAACAAGTAAAAAAAGAACACAAGGAAATTTGGTCATCCAATTCTCTTTTGGGGATGGAATTAATCTCTTGCCCATCAATTTCGAGAGATCGAAAAAGTTTTACAAGCACTAATCAATCTCTTTTCTTTTACACATGTTGCTTTCTCTAAAAAAGTTGTGTTACAAACAATATTTTGAAAACCGGACCGGACTGGGTTCGACCGCGAACCGGCCGGCTAATCGGGTTGGGTTGACCCGGGTTTGAG